TTACTTTGACAGGACTGGAGCCATTACGAAAAAGTACGACTGAATTCGCCGCGCCCTTTTATCTGACTGAATCAGTAACTAAATTAGTCAAGTGTAATCAAAAGCTTCTAATTAAAAGCCTTCTTTTTAGGATCCTAACTAGGACGTCTGAATTTAGTCAGGTGGAATAAGCGCTTATGCCTCCCTTAATAAATGCACTATCTAACACAAAACGTTTTTTTCAAATGGGACCATTAGTTCTTGAGATTTGCGCGTTCAACCATAAAAAATGGTGCATTCGGTACAACGGGTCCTAAACTACGCAATATTTTTTTTACTATCAGTTCAATAAGTTTTCATGGCAGGTTTATAATTACATAAAGAAATTCATTGCGTAAATAGAAGCCTAAAAACAAAAACTATAGTATATACTACAGCTCTAAACCGAAACGAAACGAGGCCGGGCCACTAGTATTGTCATAAACGGGGAATGTCGAACTAATGAACTATTATAACTTAATGTCAAAAACATTGAGAAACATTCACATGTCTTACTATTATAAAATTTACCTAATACATAGACAAAAAGAGACTGCAACTTCGTCACTCGCAAGGAATACGTAACAATTTGTTGAGAAATATCAAGCCTTACGCCTAACACTCCAATCAACAATTCTTTCTCCAATACCGCAACGGAAAGTGTGTCAAACAACCTATGGGTGCTTACAAATTTGGCAGTATCCCACGAGAAATAGCAACTTTTTTTGAACTTTCTGAACCCCCGTTGTACACGCGTTTCCCCACGTAAAAAAAAAGGATAGGCAACGGTGCGAGTGAAATTAGTAAAGCAACGATGAGCTATGGCGGCCACTTACCATCAGGCGGGCCATACGTTTGTTTGTCACCAATTTACATAAAAGAACCACATATCAATTATTATATATCTATAAATATTGCATAGTTGCCGTTATCGCAAAACTCGTCGCGAGTTTTAATCAGTTAAGAAAAACCTGGAAAATTTAACAAGGTGGCCAGGATTATTTTGATTAATAAGAAAAAAGTAAATAATTACTTTGTATTACTAAAATCTTACCCTTTAATGTAAAACATTTGTAATATCTAGCAGTTAAATGCTTAAAAAATAAATAAAATCATAACATTTGTAATATTTTTAATATGTATTACTAGGAATAAAACTTTGAGAACTAATTAGTAACTACATTGTTAGAGTTTGAGATGTATTGTATTATATATATTGATTTTCTAAGTACACACATTGATTATAAATGAAATAACTGCCAAACTATTACAAAAGTTTGCCGGCAGACAGATATGTATATCAAATTTGCCCAAATCGTGTTACTGTTATCCTAATTGGTATTCCTGAGACGGGACAATTGTACATCTGTCTTGTAACCTAGTTGTAAAATAGTTTGTTACGCAGTTGAAGCAGATAGAAAGGGGAATGGTGAGGGAGGCAAACAACTTTAATTAAACAAAAAAGATTGACAGGAGTGATGACTAAATTTGCTTTAACAAAAAATAATTTTAACTCATACTATAATAAAAAACGGGCTTGCGCTGTTCACATGCGATAGAAGTGAAACCTACAAAAAAGTGAACACGTAAAAGTTCTTCAGGTACGTTTTAAAGACAACATCTGTGTTAAAATTCAACTCTAGGTCAAAATTAAATATTTTATAGTACTTAAATGGTTTCGAAAAATGAATAATAGCTTAAATAAAAGAAAAAAATGAAATTGTGCGTTATGTTCAAAGACATTATTACACTAATCACTTTACATGAAACATTGGAATGAAATGAAAAGTCATTTATTCAGTCTAGGCTGTTACAAGCACTTGTGAAGGTCAAGATGCTACGCCATCGGTTCGCAAAACTACGGCAGGAGATCTTGTACTGAGAAGAACCGGCAAGACACTCAGCAAGGGCTGTTTTTTTCTCCCTGTATTGTTATATACAGAGTCATCAAGTTGAAAAACGACTTCAGAGATACGTATGAAGTCACCTTCCATTTCATCATTTAGAATATAAATATATAGTTACAATAAATTGTATAGTTAATTTATTTATATTTAGTATAAAGGAAGCAGCATTAAAAAGATACTATATTACTGTTATGAAAAATGACTAATACCCATCAAATAACAAATTACAAGAAACACTTTGTCCATGCATTAATCATTTAGATAATCATCTACTTTATACATTAATACACTATTTAATTTAAGTAATATTTTTCGTAAACAAAAATAAGTTTTATTACTTAGACACCAAGTTTCATAAATGTACTCGCGATTGCACGCTCCATCTAAGGAAATTTAAGCAAACTTTTTAAAGGTTAGATAATTTTAACGACGCATGCTGATATGCTAGTCTTGCTACAAAAGCACTGCCGTAATCGTATAAGAAAATGCTTAATAACTCGATAGATAGATTTGACGACCTCCGTGGCCGAGTGGTTCATACGCCGGGTTTCATAGTGTCGCCGACTCGAGAGGTCCCGGGTTCGAACCCGGCAGGGGATATTTGAGTGATGACTGAATACGAGCATTTGTACTCCAGTCATGGATGTTTACTATGTATTTCTGTATAAATATACTATATAAGAATAGTATAAGGGTAACGGATGGAATAATATATGTACAATATATGTATTCTATCCGTTACCCTTGTATCCCATAACACAAGCCTTCAATTGAGCGAGCGAGTCAGAATTGTACGCTTCAACGCAGCGCGAACGAAATGGCGCGAGTCCGCGTCGCTTTGCAGCCGATTGCGTTTTCTTTTCTCTCTCTCTACAGACAGCCAAGCTGTATTATTGTCCTTTTCCTGATTAAAAATGGTCAATCAGTAACTAACAATCATGGCCAAACGTGATTTTTGAGAAAATATATTTTTATAGTTTTACGAATGAAAAGTGTTACCGTGGTTTGTTATTTGTTCTTGAACTAATTGTGTTTTTTATAAAAGCATTGAAGGCATTTTTTTATCTTTATAACACAGAATATACGCAATACTGTTATATTTAGTGCACATGCACCGTGTTTGGATGTCCAATTGTGACTAAAACGAATTGTGGTCATGCACCACAATTTAAGCAGGTCACTTTTAAACCGCGAGTGCCGTATCTTCCCTTTTTGTTTTAATCTAAGATTACAACATTTGACGATAGTCAAAATGAGGTTATAATTTGACAGTGACAATAACTGTCCAAGCGAGGCCGGTTAAAATTATAATAAATTCTAACTTTAACCTCCTTAACTGGCTTTGTATCACACATAGAAACCTGTAAAAAAAAATTAACCTAACACGTAATAACACATAATCTTGCAAAATGCCAAAATTCATTCATTAACCTCAACTGAGACCTTGATTTTTATTGCAATCATAATAAGTGTTCTGGAACACGTCCCTAACCAAACAATAAACTGTACGTGTTATTGTGCCCTGTTACGTCATCCGTGAAGAGGGAAAACGGGTCGGCATGCCCAAGAAAAAACAGTACCGCGCCACTAAACAGTAAATATACAGAGCTTGCCTAAATACGACTGGCTGAAGTCCAACACTAGGCCGTATTACGTATGTATCTACGTATCTATAAAAAGCAAACACACCGATATGAACATTAATGCAAGCTTCGTAAAAGCTTTATCATCAATATATGATACAATATGAAAAAATATGGAAAATGTAAGATTTTATCTTTTTTTTACATAATCGAAAAATTACAGAAGCTATATAGGGTAGAGTTGAAATGTCTCATGACGTCACGTCTTGGTATAATTTTTACTTAGAAATGAAGTCACGAGGCCCCACTCCTTAGACATTGAGGCGCTTTATCTTTGTAATTTTTTTGTTGATTAACAAAAGAAATTTTTTATAACCATTATTTTTGATAATGCAACTGGTGGACTAAATATATTTTCGTATACTTACCCTGTCATGATCTCTATTCTCTCTAAAATCTTCAACGAACTCAGAGTACCAAATATGTTTAGCTTATGTCTACGAGTTTAATCTTATATATATATAAAACTCAAAGGTGACTGACTGACATAGTGATCTATCAACGCACAGCCATGCCAACATGAAATTTGGCATGCAGGTAGATGTTATGACGTAGGCATCCGCTAAGAAAGGATTTTGATCAGTTTAACCCTCAAGGGGATAAGATAGGGAATGAAAGTTTGTATGAAACTTTTTCAATTTTAAACCGATCGGGCTGAGACTTTGCATGTATGTATAAGAAGAATCATAGATGAATGTTATTGTACATAATACAAGCCTGAGACAAAAACTGTAGTCTGCACTTCATTATCACAGCCTATTAATGTCTCCACTGCTGGGGTACAGGCCTTCCCTATGAATGGAATAGGGAGTTTTCAGATATTAATACAGATTAAGTATGATTTTATACAGATCTAATACAATTTAAGTATTTTTAATGCTATTTATAAATTATCTTCTTCTTTTCCGGCATAAAAATGCCGTATATTTGTCGCTTTTGTATAACTGAAAAGTGATCGAAATGTCAAATAAAATAATAAAATTAAGACGTTTATTATATTAATACGCTAGGCGGACAAAGAATAATAATTTCGTACACTTCCGCGAACAGAAATCATTATTGTTGTTATTTTTTGGTCTCCTGAATACCTACATTATTGTGAATGGCGCGGTGAATAACAATGAATGAAGCCAAGTTTTTTGCACACATTTGTGTTGAAGAAGGAATATTAAAAATTCTGATTTCATTCGATAACCTATTCTACGTAACATGTTCAAATTCAAATACGAACCCTAAAAAGGTCTGAAATTGAAATGGGTCGTCGTTTTTGGTGAACTATAATAAAGGTTTAACTTTATTTATCATCAGTATGAATTTTGTATACTACCAAGTTTATTACATAGGGATTCAATATCAGTAGACAAAAGTGACAAATCGCAACGAAATCATATCAGTACCTTATAATTTCTTTGAGTTTAATGTTTTTACTCACCTGGATCTAATTCGTCTTCCATAATAACTTCCCATGACATTGCCATAGGAGCTGCTAGTGACAGTGCCAGGAACCATATTAACACTATGATCACTTTAGCAATACGCTTCGAAGTGTGAGCGCTGTAACAAAATGAGACAATTATAATAATTATTTACCCGATTAGGTTTATGAATAAATTCTCGCAATGATTCCTACATGAACAAAGAAATTTAGTAATCCATTTCTTTGTCGTACTATTCTAAAGTGGCATTCCTTGCCCGATAATGTGTTCCGTCCTTCCTTCAATCGGGGGCTTTTAAAAGAGGCTTGAAGAAGCATTTCGGAAGGCCATTCAAGCAAGGTGAAGATAGATGATGTGGCAGTTCATAACTGCTGCACCAGCTTTTTTCCCGACTGGACTTTACCACCACTTAACATAAGGGTACAATCATATACCTACCTAGCTCCTTGTATAAAAAAAATCGTAATCTATACATATAATAAAATGGTAGGAAAGGCAAAACTGTACATTGAATATTTTTTAAAAGAATACTTGGGGTGTGATCTACATTCGATACCGAAGCCAAAAATTTAGTTTTTAGATTTTTTGTCAGTTTGTCTGTATGTATGTCCGGAATAAACTCAAAAAGTACTGCATAGATTTACTTCAAATTTGGCACGAATATTATTAAGAAGTCGGGTCAACATATAGGCTACATATTATCACGTTATCACCTACGGGGAACGAGCAAGGAACCTTTATTTCTAACCAACTCTACGAGTACAAAGAAAAGGTTGAAACTTTAAAACTCCAATCCAAAAACTTCAACTTGTTATGAATAGGTAGGTAGCCAGACGAGGCAAGACAGTGTGTGTGCACCTCAAGTGCATCTATATCGTAGTAATATGGGTGTGTCGTGTGCTTCATGTTGGTCGCAATAGGTGAGGACGCGATTTATTTTCATTCAATATTGGACATTATGAATAATTTGTCTGAAATAGAATGTACAACGCCTACCCCTTATTAATATCAAGGAATATGTCTTTGAATTGTTACGCCATGTTATGTTTATATCACTCACTCAAGTGTCATTTGTAATTCAATGAACAGAGACAAAACATAAAGTAACTAATCTAAGCTTATTTTTCGTTTATTATTAGTTTTTTAAGTCGTAGAGCCATTAATATAAAATATTACTGTTTATTCGATAAATAATAATAAATAAAATAACTTAAGAGTTAGTGCCTGTTTACATCTCCACGTCACTACGTCGTGTCGTCGACGTGAAACGGTAGATGGAAAGAAAATGCGACCAGGTATGCACGTTATGTCATGGCACCCTGCAACGTGGACAGGCAATTTAATCATAGTAAAATAAAATTAAATATTAGTAATTTCACTAGAAGATAAAGCTTTTTTACATAAGTTTAAATAACATTCCATAGCCTCCGTGTGTTAATGTAGGTAGTACGTAGTTCATAAATCACTTTTGAGCTTCCAATAAATACATTTACATGACAAGTCTAATGTGCGTTGCACTTAGGCAACTCTAACAAATAAGTACAGTTACAAAGTTTAAGTAACATCTAAAGTAAATTTTCGTTTGCACCAACTTAAATATCTAAAAACGTTCTTAGCAAGACAGAACAAGACAGACAAGGCTTAGATGAACAGAAAATTAAACGTTCGGAAAATAAAAGTTTGTTTTTCTAACTATTTATTAAAATTGATACTTTCAACAACTTGCCAAAATAAAGTACATTAGTGTTAATTAAAAAATAAGAAGTTCTTAATATTATGCGCACCGGTGCCTCTCGTGGCCGCTTCGTATTTGCATTGTTTCATGTGTGCCTTAAAATTTGAAACTTTTACTAAAGGAATTAGGGTTAAACTTAAATTGTTAACTTCTCAGTATCTTTGGCGCGCCATTCTGGTGTGCGCTGCGCCATAATCGCTGTCATAAAATCTAAGATTTTCTAAGCAAATTAGAATCAAGTTTGGTACAAAATCGTTTTGCACGTAGAAATTAGCAGTCACCTTAATACTGAATAATGACTTTAAGAAGGTCCTGAATTTGGTTCAAACAGCCTTAGGTTGCTGATTTGCAAAAATCTTGGCGGCCATCCATATATTAAAGATTTGCAACTACTGAAAGTTAGCAGCTAAACTAACACATATAATGTTTTTGATCTATCGCTTCCAGTTCTGTTTTACTTGAGTGAGTACAAGTCTTTAAAACAACCTCCTCAATCTGTCCAATTTGAAATGTTGATGTGTAATGCAAACAACCCAAAACTGTTGAATATGACGCTCTGTGGAGGCTTATTATGGCCTTTTGCATAACTTTGCGCACTTGAACGTAACTTTGGGATATAGAAGGTACTAAACCTTTATTAAAGTGCGCGTTTCAACCCGTAAAATATGATACTTATTATCGTCGTAAGGATAAATAGGTTTACATATATTCAGAATCTTATTTCTATCGATTAAGAAATCTCGTAAGTGAAAATTGGTAAATCAAGCAGATTTTTTTTTGCGTTTTGCTACACAAAATAAAATTCGTTATTATCAAGTAAGTTAATGTTCTTTACAATAATGACATATATTGCTTTTTGTTGTCAGCAATTCTATCTACAGAATTAATTCAAGATAGATTTTTCTTGATTAGACACAAAAAATACCAATTATAGATCTAAAGAAAATATAACTAGAAAAATTCCACGCGGACCAGGCAGCAGACGGGACCCAAACCCGCACCCTTTTTTTTATAGATAGGTCCGACAAATGACTCCACCCCACCTGATGTTAAGTGGGGGTGAAGTCCAGACGCGAAGACAGCTGATACAGCAGTTCTACCTGCCACACCAGCCATCCTCACCCTGCCGGCCTGCATGTTGCTTCTTCACGCCTCTTTTAAAGGATCCCAGGTTGTAAGAGGGAGGGAACACGTGAGCGGGCAGAGCATTCCATTTACAGATAGTACGACAAAGAAATGAGTCACCAAATTTCTTTGTACGCGTTGGAATTGTAGCCACAGTTAGACGGTGACAACGTAAGCCAGCGCGCGTGGTCGTCTGAAGGAAAGGGGAAGGTGGAATAAGAGAGAATAACTCCTCAGAACACTCGCCGTGGTACAGACGATAGAACGCGCTTAGTGACGCCACGTCACGGCGTAATTGATGAGGCTCGAGGTGTTTAGTCACCTCCTCATCGCCTATGATGCGTATTGCGCGCCGCTGTAACCTATCCAAAGCATCGAGCAAGTACTTGGCGGAGCCATCCCAGAGGTGCGAGCAATATTCCACGCAAGACCGAACCTGCGTCTTATATAACAAGCATAGTTGCTCGGGCGTGAAAAAACGCCGCACCTTGTTCTGGACTCCGAGTTTGCGTGAGGCTGTTTTTATCACACTTTCGATGTAATTTTTTGTATTTAAGTCACAGCGAATCTCCATACCGAGCATGGTGATACTGCTCTCTAGCTCCAGTGTTGTGCCGTGAAGAGAAGGACATAAAAGGAATGGCGACGTTTTTGCCGTGAAAGCGCAGACCTGGGTTTTCTTAGCATTGAACTCAACCAAGTTCTTGGTACCCCATTCAGAAATGTGGTCCAAAGCCTGATTTAGTTCAATGACAAGATTCTCCCGTTTCTCCTTGGTTACCGCCTGCCTAGCCGCTGCTTGTCCGAGATACCCAGCATGCACTGTACTGTCGTCTGCATAGCAATGAATATTCCCAAGAGGAATTAGGTCATTGATATGCAGCAGAAAGAGAGTGGGGGATAGGACGGAGCCCTGGGGAACGCCGGCATTCACTGACATGAACCGCGAACTGCTACCATCTGTAAGGACACGAATTCTACGCTCATGCAGGAAGTCAGCTAACCAAGAACAGAACTGGACCGGCAGACCGTATGCCGGAAGCTTGGAGAGATGGCTTTTGTGCCAGACCCTGTCGAATGCCTTGGCAATGTCTAGGCTGATAGCCAACGACTCGCCCCGCTTGTCGATAGCCTCACCCCAGATATGAGTCAAGTACGCTAGAAGATCACCCGTCGATTGTTTCGGTCTAAAACCATATTGACGATCATTAATCAGGAAGTGATCCTCTAGGTAGCGGGTCAGATGGTTGTTAAGGACCTTTTCTAGGACTTTACATAATACTGAGGTGACTGCTATTGGCCGGTAGTTTGCCGGGTCTGAGCGATCCCCTTTTTTGGTTATCGGTTGCACGTTAGCATATCTCCAAATCTCCGGCACACGTACCAAAAAATACGAGCACTGGTACAAACGTGTGAGCACGGGAGACAACTCCGCTGCACATTTTTTCAAAACTACTGCTGGGATGCCATCAGGTCCACTAGCTTTCCGGACGTCGAGTGATTGCAATTCGGCACGAACCTCACGCTGCCTGATTTTGATATCAGGCATCGTTGTGCCACAATGAGGTAATAATGGTGGCAGTGCATTGCAATCATCGATTCGGGAGTTAGCCGCAAAGAGTTTTGCCAGTAAATCGGCTTTCTCCTGCGGCTTATGAGCTAGTGTTCCGTCTGGACATCTCAGAGGTGGCAGCGAGGGCTGGCAGAAGTTCTTTTGCACGGCCTTAGCCAAACGCCAATAGCTACGGGAGCCCGTAGGATGAGTTATAAGTTCGTGACCAACACGTGCAACGCGCTGGGCATCCGCTCTGATGTATGCCTTCTTACAGACCTTGGAAGCAATATTGTAGGCTGCTTTTAGTGAATCGACCCCGGGATCCTTAAGAGCGCGGCCTCTGATCCAAGCACGATATGCCGCTTGCTTACGCGAAGCAGCTTCAGCACAGTCGTGATTGAACCAGAGGTTACGTGTGCCCTTACTGATGAGATTGGAATGAGGAATATAGTATTCCATACCCATTACAATCTCCTCAGTAATAGCAACGGCGCTGGCCGATAGGTCTTTGTCACTGAAGCAGCGCTGCTTCCAAGGGACGGACGCAAAGTAGTCATGCATACCGTCCCAATCTGCCGACCCATAGTGCCAGATCCGGCGTTTTACCACCGTTGGACGCGGAGGTATGGCCTGTGGCGCTTTGGCAGATATCAGGCAGTGATCTGAAGAGCCCAGGGGGGCTCCTATCACAACCTGATAGCCC